GCACAAATTGAATCGGAAAACTGTGCTACCGTCCACACGTTCCGACTTGTCTGCGCAGTTCATCGAAGTCTATGCTCGGTAGCTCAGCAGATTTCGATGGAACTGCGCAGTTTTCTCGCCTGTTCCAAAACTGCGCAGTTTTCCCGTCTACACGCAACGTTTTATCTGCAACGATTAGAACTGCGCAGACAAATCGTTGTGTAAAACTGAGCGTGTGGACCGGGCTTAACGCTTGTAGATCTAGGCTCGTAAAGCCCGGTCCACACGCTCAGTTTTACACAACGATTTGTCTGCGCAGTTTCTAATCGTTGCAGATAAAACGTTGCGTGTGGACGGGAAAACTGCGCAGTTTTGGAGCCGGCGGGAAAACTGCGCAGTTCCATCGAAATCTGAGCTACCGAGCATAGATTTCGATGAACTGCGCAGACAAGTCGGAACGTGTGGACGGTAGCACAGTTTTCCGATTCGATTTGTGCTCAGTTTCAATGATTCTGGCGACCATGGCGGACCTTCGGTAATGTTCTCGGGAATTTATTACTTTTCTATACGAAAGTTTTTCTTGCATTTGGTAAGTAAAATTCAAGGACTATAGTAACAGGGACAAAAAAGATGGAGACATACGAGGGTTTAGTAGAAAAATTCAACGAAATCGATGAAAGCGCAAACATAGAAACAGCTGTAAAATAAGTTGAGCATTTACCGTAAATAATTGGGAATGAATAAAAAAAATCGATTCCATCTGGACCTGGAAAAGAAGACATCTACAAGCCATCTCTCTTGTATTTTGATTCCTCGCAATCCCTAAATGATTCAATCTCTTTTTTGACAAGGCACAATGCCAAAATTTATGAAAATACTGCCTTCTCCATGGAGACGTCCCGGACAAATTTTGCGGCCGGTCTCCCCAAATTCGGCGAGCATGGAATATCTCCCAAAGTAATGAACGTAGCTCGATAAAACGTGGTACACGTATTCAGGACTTAACGGTGATGTTTAGCATATGACAATTTTTTTTCGATTTTGCCTTCGTTTGCGAGTTATACGGCTTTATCTAATCTAAAAAATTTTCACGAACTAAACATCGCAGTTGGGAGGTAAGGTTTCTATATTCAACGTTTCGTTCAAATCTGTACAGTAGTTAAGAAGAAATGTCATGCTCACTGCAAATTTCAGCACGTATCGTCATATAACTCAGGAATGAAGGTGAAATTCCAAAAATGTTCACGAGCTAAACATCACCGTTAAGTCCTAATGAATACAGTATCAAGTTTTATCGAGCTACGTTCATTACTTCGGGAGATATTCCATGCTCGCCGAATTTGGGGAGACCGGCCGCAAAATTTGTCCGGGACGTCTCCATGGCGAGATCGCGCAAAACTGAGCAAACTACTCAGATAAGTCGGTACCGTACGTGTGGACGCTCTAAAAATTGCAACGATTTCAATCCGACTTAAAACTGCGCAGACAAATCGTTGTGAAAACTGAGCGTGTGGACCGGGCTTAAGACAAATCTAGGCTCGCAAGACGAATTTAAATGAGCTTCCAAATCTTCATGTTTGACGTCAGTTAGTAACCGTGGCTTCAACCTTTGTTGCAAGTCAGTACTAATTTCAACAGGCAAGACGTTCGAAAGATTCCTAGCTGACAAAGGCGAACCTTTCTTCGCAGCAGATGCGGCAAGTTTGTCACTATGTTGAAGTCTAAATTGTTGTATATACTCGTCGACGCTCTCCACGCCAGACTGGAACATCTTCGAGCTTTCCGTCATTCTCGTTGACAGATGATGTGACCGAAGTTGACGTATGAAGAAGCAGAGAGAAGTGCAACCGTAGTCGGTGTTGGTATTTTACGAACTAAGCCACGTTGTACAATTGGTTACAACACAGACCATTTCCATTGCCACACAGGTAATCTAAACGCTAGTTAGAGGAATAACAACTTCTTGGTCTTTAGCTTAGCTAACTGTACTCACGTCAATAATCCTGCGTAACATGTTGTGGCCTAACGCTGCATCGACTCAAAATCTTCTTCCAGCTAATGACTGACTCTCCCTGCTCATTTACCCCGCCTCTCAAACCTCCTGCAGCCAATGAGGTTGGATCAGGTCAGCTCAGGTTCGTTTTTGAGTAAAAAATGTTGCAACATGTGTAGGCTAGGCCAGAAGAGGTTAGGCCGGAATTGGTTTGGTCAGATGCAGTATGACCACGCCTGAGCATGATTAAGCGGTCACTGTGGACATACGGCGTTATGCCTTTTACACTTCATAGGCTGCTCTAGCGTTATCACCCGCGGAATGAAATATGACTTAAGCGTAAAATTGGGTAAAGAGGCTACTAGAATAGCATGTGCTCATCTAGCGTCAGTTTAAATAGTAAGCTTCTACATCTTGCAATAAGCCAGCCAAGTTTGTTATTACTCACGCTCCAATACGGAAAATATTCCTGTCCTATTTGTTACTAAAGACATGAGAAGAAACAGTGTACGTCTTTAAAACTGAAATAATAAGAAAACGACGGTTAAAATGCGCGTGCTATTGCACACGGAGCCCGTAGAAAATTTAAAAAAGTTTGTCACAAAAAAATGGATAAGTTCCTATGTAAAAGAAGTTATTTTTAAGATTACACGCCCCTTTTAAGTAAAACCGACCATAAACAAGAGTCACAGTAATATACGAAAATTAGACAAAAAAAAACAGGAAATGTAGCATACGACATATATTAAACCAATCAGGCAAATGGGTCATCAACTGCTTTAAAAATAAGCCGATTGGGTTGTATTCTCGAACAGTCACCGACATGTGGAGCAACCTCCCTGATAGCATCGTTGACGCTCCGAGTATGAACATCTTCAAAAACAGACTAGACGAAGCTATGCTTGAGCATATGTTCAGTCTTGGAATGCCTAGCCCCTTGCGAGCCTTGCAAAAAGTCCAGCAGCTATCTCAAACAGTCGTCAGTTATGGATAGATCGGGTTCCAAAGGCCGGATCCCTTGTGAATCAAGTCACGAAAATTTCAAGAATCCGCAACAGGCCATGGGCATATTTCTTCAATGCCGACACTTCTATTCTATCCTATTCTACTAAATGAGTTATCTCAGAATTTAATGATATTAAATTGCAGCAGGCACTCAGACAACATCTGCAGACACTCGCAAGCTTGACCACATCCAAGACGAAACCGTCTTCAGTCAGTTTAAATTTCGCGGTCTTCGTCCCAGAAATTATAACTGCCGACCTGACGTCAGCGAGAAGCTGCATGGCAAGACAATGCAGCCGAGGGAAAAGAATCCGCGGACATCAAGTGAAATATTTTTATTCTTGAGGAAGTGAAGTCCTGTTGTGGACACGCAAATCCTCGCACCAGCAATCGAAGCATTTCTTCTTCATCATTGGGCCCTAAGACTCGTCGGTGATGCGCAAAGTTCTTCATCTGCTGCTTCGCCGGTCAAATTCACAAATCTTTGGCAGTCAAGCACCATTAAACGGTAAAAAGAACTTTAACGTCTACTGCCTGACATAAATAACCGAAGCAATATGTTACAAGTCTACTTCCCAAAAAAGGAGACGTTCTATTGAGCGTAAAATGGCCTGCAGTGATGGTTGCCGCCACGCACGACAACTTTAAACATTCTCTGTTGCGTACAAATGTTCTCAGGTAGCTACAGTCAATAATATACGTATAATTCGAGTTGAAAGTTATGTTCCCGGATAGTGACATACGGCGGTAGAGGGTTAACTGAGCATATTTATAGAGCAGCCACGTAAACACCAATTAGATAACTTCCTTGCCCTTGATAAATGTTAACCACCTAACAGTAACGGCAATTAGTAAAAACAATATCAGCGTAACTTTGATACAAAATTTTGAAGTTGACAGTAGAGTGGCACAAGTTGCCATTGGGAACAAAATCAAACACGGATAAATACGAAGATAATGCTAAAGAGAGCACTTTCCAATCACAGTTCACTTGCAGCTTATTAGTCAGGCTAATCATAATTTGTGACCGCTAATCGCGCATTGGGCAACAGATTGCGACGTGCCAATGAAGCAATGATGTATGGTAAGGTTTCAGGAGTCACTATGCTAGTAATATTTTCAAAAAATAACCAATGTCCTTCAAACGAATTTACTTAATCGCCAGCATCTCAATTTGTAAACTGTTGAATGAGAGTCATAATGCCGTAGTCCATTCTACCAGGATAACTAAAAAAAATCAGTGAAACTTGATAGAGGGAAATGTGAATTTAACAATTATTTTTTAGCGAAATTCACCATTCTCTTTACAATCTTAACAGTTTCGAATACAAACTTGATGTCAGAAATTTGAGAACAGCTCTTAATTAAAAATTGGTGGTGTTCGGCTGCGGCTGCGCAGTGCGCACCTCTCTAACGGAGGTCCCTCTAGCGCACGGGTGCGCGTCACTTGAACATTAGTCTATTAGCGATGGCGCGGCGGAAAATTCAAAATATTATATGATGTCTAATGTTACCGTGTTACGAGTCACTTGCTTAGGAAAGAATGAAGATATAGGTCAAATGAAAGAAAAAGTGCCTGCTCCGAAAATGTTACTGAGTTTAGGTGTTACAAGTAGCCAATTTGATACAACAATGTGCATTGTGCACTGCATAGGCTACCTATACTGATACAGACATACAATACACTGAATACAGTCAGATTGTCAGTGAAAATGAAACAGAATAACAGATGATTTTGTTTAGGAACAAATTGAGGCTGTTTGAACAAATATATTGATATATCATATGATGTATATATTAGAAGTATTTTAGAAATTTTCATCACAAATTTCCTGTTAAGTGTAAACTGATGATCTCAAGGTAGCCTAGCCTGCTAGGTAGGCTAAAGATAGAATGGAAAATATGGAGGCAATGAGGCATTATTAGAGTTTAGGCTGGTTTAGAGGGTAATGTTTGTTGACATGACATAAGAACTCAAGAAGCTTGTATTGGGTTAAACCTACTGATTTTCTTTGATATTACTTTGCAAAGGCACAGCACAGGGGGCTCTAAAGTCTAAAGTTTAAACATTTTGATTGTTTCATCTACGCGCAGAAGTTGAACTTCTGCATGTGTTCTGCCGCAGAACACAGTCATTAAATGATCAAAATATTGTAAAATTAATTTATCACATCTTCAGACTCCAGTAAAGATCACTTAATTTAGTTTAGACAAAGTCATGGCAAATTTTTATACTAGTTATTATCCAAATTACTTTAGTGTTGAGGACATTTTAGCTTCCCAAGACCGAGTTCCTTGCAAATTTGAAGTCACTGTCAAAGGACTGGGTAAGTACTAAGTAGCATATTATGAGGCATTTTAAAATGATTGAAATAAGTTTAAATTAAAGAATATTTAGATTAGAATTAAATTATAAATTCTGACTTCTGAGAATAACTGAGATTATCTAAAGAATCATAGTTGTGCACAACTCTTGTCATTTGCTCATTAGCTAAGAATTTGAGGCTAATTAACTATTAAGGTATCTGTAAATTTATGAATACTGGTTTAAGGTTAAACTAGTTCACTGAAATTTAAAATATGCAATGTAATTTCCACATTTGATGAGTTACCTGTATGGTCAACCTGTCAGGCAGTCTCTTGACTCTTTGAGTGCATACCAGCATATTGCAACATAAATAAGCTTTTACGTGCATGAATTGTCTTATATTTATTAGATTAGGCATTCAATCTCATGAATCGATCATTTATATTCTCAACACTTCTTCTCTTAAATTTTAATTTTTCGATTGCATTCATGATTAAATAATATTTGATTTCTCTGTGCAGAGGTTTAAATTCTCCCATTTCTATGTATTTAAGTAAAGTTTTAAATTGATAGTTTTTGTTGTATGTTTAATGAAACTTTTGCCTTACAGGTTACCTTGATGCCTCATCTGGGAATGAAGACATCCTGCCAGGATCCAAAATAGAGTTGCCCTGCTGGATGGCCCGCCCATTGTGTTCCTCCAAACGCCTCCCCATTGTGTCTGCTCAGCTGCCTGTCAACTACCGTGAAAGATACAGGTTAGATCATCTAGATGTCTAGGACATTGAGTGACATATATGTGGTGTAATCCATAGATGCCATTCATTGTAGACAAGTTAGAAAACTACTAGGTGCGATACCAGTTAGCTTCTCTAGATGTCTAGGACAATGAGTGACATATAAGTGGTGTCATCCTTAGATGCCATTTCTTGAAGACAACTACTGGGAGAGATACCAGTGTGCTTTTCTAGATGTCTAGGACAATGAGTGACATATCAGTGGTGTCATTCTTAGATGTCATTCCTTGTGGACAACTACTGGGAGACTTACCAGCAAGCTTTTCTAGGTGTCTAGGACAATGAGTGACAAATCAGTAGCATCTTTCTTGGATGCCATTTCTTGTAAACTACTACTGAGAGATGTACAAGTTAACTATTCTGGAAGTCTATGACAATGAGTGACATTGAAGTGGCATCATAATTTGAGGCCATTTCTGGTACACCAATTCATGGTCATATGAGTACATAAGTCAACCTAATCAAACATCTTGTGCATTAGTGTAGTCAGGTAGGAAAAAGGGCTATCTTAACCCTTTCACTGGTAAGTTACCATATATGAACACTTGAAATCGCATCACAAAAAGCCTCACCACGGCTTCTTGTTTGTTTTTGAGGCATCCTTATACTGCCTCAGTCAATCGCAAATTATCTGACCATCGTTCTATCTATAGCATCACCAGCTGCAAAGTCCACAAATTGAAATATGAGCATTTAAATGAAGGTTTTGACTCGGACAATGGAATTGACGCTCTTTCCGCATTTTCTTCAAAATTTGGAAGTATCAATATATATATTTATTTATTTTGGCAACTTGATTAAATTTAATTAAATTAAATTTTTATGTTTCTAATTTTTCATTTGCATAAACTGAATTTTAATTAGAAAGAAAAATTTTGTGTACTGATTGCATTTATTGAATTCTTCAAGTGCAATTTAAACCTTCAATAGGCAAAATTTGCAAAAATTCATATAAATAAATATATTGTATAATACTTCTTACTTTCTTGAAATGGTTTCTGTAATTTTAATTTATGGATATTTTAATGCTTGCCCGCTAAAGGGTTAAGTCTCCTGTGTGCAGTATGAGTGGAATCACTCTATTATTTGTCAAAGAGTATAAATATTTTCACTACAACTGACTGCAAAATTACTGGCTGCCTTTCTACATGAGAAATGGGTTTTTATGGTAGCAGGATGATTTTTAGAAACATTCAGTTTGAGTGCTCATCAAATAATTCAATTGTTAATGTTCCCGAACTGTTTATAATGTTTCCTTGTAGATACCGTAAATTACAAACCAAGCGCAAAATATGCTATGAATATTTTTGTTTACAGAGAAATTCTAAGCGCTGATGCTTGCGTGGTGGACCTGCAGAAGCTGGGCCCTCATTTCTACGAGCTGGGACTGCACTTGCTGCCCATCACATCTGCTCCGGACAGACCTCGTCTTGCTGCCTTGCTAACTCAGGTCTGTATATTCCTGAAGCGGTTTGTGAGTAGTGACTTGTGTGCTTTAGTGAGGTGGTTTGTGAGTATCAACTTGTGTGCATTAGTGAGGGAGTTTGTGAGTATCAACTTGTGTGCATTAGTGAGCTGGTTTATGAGTATTGACTCCTGATCAGTTTTGCAACAATTCATCAACGTTCAAATTTGAAGCCCATCAAAACACTTGATGCTCTATTAGGCTAGATAGTACTATGGTCTGAAATCTGGTAATTCGTTGTCTCATTACAATTATTTGACATAAAATTGAGCACTTACAGTGGGCGCAAAAAGTATCTGACACAAAGGATAAACTTTGTGGAAAGGAAACCTTAAATTTTACAAAATTGCAATTATCTAGTCAACATTTAATGATGCTGTTGTTTTAATATGATATTTGTATTTCCCATGCAATTAAACATTAGAATAGTGTTTGTTTATCTTATTTTGTTGAATAAGCTTTAATAAAGTCCCGCTGATAGGAATAAACATCACATTCGAAAATTCACAGACAGTAGGAAGCATTCACAAAAAATATACAGGAAAGAATTTCAGAAGGAAAATAAATGAAGACTTAAAAAGAGGCCTTGAAGTGGAGGCGCTGCTCAGAGTCAAAACCGAAATTAGGCCTCAGTAGAATGCCAGAAAAAAATGGGCTTTTAATTATATTCATACATTTGATCAAAAGGAGGGAGAACGATGTTTATTCAATGCCTCTCTTAGGCGATTATCTTTGCAGGATAACGTTCTTATAAAATATTCATCCAAAGCTCTTCCAATGCTAGGAACGTAACACAAAAATTACAGAACTTGACCTTGACCTCACGCCTCTATAGGACCCACTGTATACCTTTGTGTTGTGTGTAAAATTCGACTGTTAAACAATGCGCAGGAATTGTATTACCAAAGAATATTTATGAATTTACTGCTGTTATAATGCAGCGGAATAACATGTTGCGATTATGCAGGTTCTGAGGGACAGGCTCAGGCCCATAATGGACGACGCTCAGCACTGCAGCGCTGATGAGACCTCACAGAAAATTGCCAAGCTTGACCGACTCGAGATCAGACTTTTCCGGGGAGGCCAGGTGAGGACACTAGGCCCTTTAGAGGCTATGAAATATTATGTGGTGTGGACATCAGGCTGTAATAAGGCCATGAAATATATGGTGAGAACATCAGGCTCTGTTCCCTAGTCTGGACATCAGGCTCTAGCGAGGCCATGAAATATATACAATGAGGACACTAGGCTCTAGCTAGTCCAAGAAATATCATATGATGAGGACCTCAGGCTCTAGTAAGGCCATTAAATCTTACTATATGGTGTGGACATCAGGCTCTAGTGAGGCCATGAAATATTATATGATGAGGACACTAGGCTCTAGCTAGTCCAAGAAATATCATATGATGAGAACAGCAGGCTCTAGCCAGGTCATTAAATCTTACTATGTGGTGTGGACATCAGGCTCTAATGAGGCCATGAAATATTATATGATGAAGACACTAGGCTCTAGCTAGTCCAAGAAATATCATATGATGAGAACATCAGGCTCTAGTCAGGTCACTAAATGTTATATGATGAGAACATCAGCCTTTAGTCAGGTCATTAAATGTTATATGATGAGAACATCAGGCTCGAGCCAGGCCATTGTATATTCAATGGATGTTGGAACATTTTAGTTCTTCATCCATGAAAGGGCTTTATGTGTGCTCACATGAAAATATTTTACCGTTTTATGTGTCAGAAAATTTGTCTTCGCCATTTTTCAAATCGTTTCATTTCCGCCAGAGTCAAAAATATTTGATTCTTGAAACCATCATTTTGATTCTCCTTACGTGCCTCACGCCTCTTACGTGCCTCACGTCTCTCCTTACGTGCCTCCTAGTCCTATGTTCCTCACTTCTGTCCCTACTTGCCTCAAGTGTCCTACATGCCTGACGTGTCCTACGTGCCTCACGCCTCTCCTTACGTGCCTTACTCCTCTCCCTACGTGCCTCACGTGCATGTGCCTCACGCCTCTCCATACGTGCCTCACGTGTATGTGCCTCACGCCTCTCTCTGTGTCTGACATGTCCTACATACCGCAGGAGAGCGTCAGGGACCGGGAGCGCTGGCTGGACCGCACGGCTCACCTGCTGTCCATGGCGCCGCTGCTCGCTGCCTCCAACGCCAGGCACAAGCGCAAGCGTCAAGACTCATAGCCTCCTGCCTTGATTAATCAATTAATTCTATACTCTTATTTGATATTTCCTGTTTACCTTTTCTCTATTCACATCCATGGTGTGAGAGTATAAATATTATAGCCTCCTGCCTTACTTTATGCTATACTCTTATTTGATATTTCATATTCGATTGTTTATTTTTTCTCTTTTTAGCGTATTTCCTCATTTATGGGAAAAAATGCACTATTGTGCTCGCCATGTCCGTCCGTCTGTCCGCGACCTCAAGTTTTCGTCGACGAGAAAATGCGCTCTCTGTCACTCACTGCAGTGAGTACTGAGTTATATTTTTTTGATATTTCGTGTTTGATTGTTTACTTTTCTCTTTTTTTTGATATTTCGTGTTCGATTGTTTACTTTTTTTCTTATTTGATACTTCTTGGTTACTTTTTCTCGATTCTTATCAACGGTGTGAGACTATAAATATTATAGCCTCCTGCCTTACTTACAAATCTATACTCTTATTTGATATTTCCTCTTTGATTGTTTACTTTTACTCTATTCTTATCCACGGTGTGACACTATTATTATACAAGTATTTTAATTATGTAATATAACAATTCTATAAATATTTTATAATTCTTGGTGCGAGTCATTCTATGCTCTCCTTTTTAATTGTCAACATTTAATAGTTAAGTATAATTTTTCACTGTGTGGGAAAATGCTTATTATATGATTGTCAGTTCGAGAATATATATACTTCTTATCTTCTTCATAGTTGCAAGCCTAGGCCTGATGGTACGTAGTACCTGCTGAAGCTATCATTTTATATGAAGTTAAATAAAATAACACAAACAGGTTTTCTAACAGGTTTTCTTGCTGAATGCAACACCCATTGACACTTGCCACTCCACAACAAATTTCTTATGTCGGGATTGGGACATACATGGCTGAAAATATATGCAAAATATTCATGGAAAAGTCTTTCATTGGGGTATAAATCAGTGCTGAATCAGGAGAATCTCGTAGGTAAGATGATAACAAGGCCTCATCGATTGAGGAATTTATAGTTTTTTATTAATATTCTAATTAATGAATTTGTGTGTATGATAGTAAAATATAATTAGCGTCTAGAAGTATTGTTTTATATTCTCACACGAATCAAGTCTACTAGAAAGTGTTGATTGACTTCTAAGATAAGTTTTACATTAAATTACATATTCAACATGAAACTGATATCCTCGAATTCGTTGAGGCATAAAGTCGATGATGAAGTTTTATTAAACTTGGTTGAATTGATAGGATTTTAAATTGCAATGAAATTCGGCCATTAAATCGAGTAGAAATATTGCGAATAAACTCTGTTTAATGGGACCAATTATACGTGTTTATTTTCGTGGTCCTATTCGTCTTATGCCTCGAGACGTGCATGATGTTAGGATACGTGATACCAGCGGCCAGGATGCGTGATACCAGCGGCCAGGATACGTGATACCAGCGGCCAGGATACGTGATACCAGCGGCCAGGATGCGTGATACAAGCGGCCAGGATACGTGATACCAGCGGTCATGATACGTGATACCAGCGGCCAGGATACGTGATACCAGCGGCCGGGATACGTGATACCAGCGGCCAGGATACGTGATACCAGCGGTCATGATACGTGATACCAGCGGCCAGGATACGGGATACCAGCGGCCAGGATACGAGATACCAGCGGCCAGGATACGTGATACCAGCGGCCATGATACGTGATACCAGCGGCCAGGATACGAGATACCAGCGGCCAGGATACGTGATACCAGCGGCCATGATACGTGATACCAGCGGCCAGGATACGCGATACCAGCGGCCAGGATACGCGATACCAGCGGCCATGATACGTGATACCAGCGGCCATGATACGTGATACCAGCGGCCAGGATACGCGATACCAGCGACCAAAATATGTGATAACAGCGGCCAGGATACGTGATACTAGAGGCCAGGATACTGTAATCCTTAGTTTAAGTTGATCATCTCTAAGTGAACATAGCTTTTCTCATTCTTTCGTATTTTTCTGTGAAATAAGACAGAATTAAAATTTACTACTTCCTATCCCTTTTGGAGAAAAAGTTCAGTCCCGTGTCAGGCAGGGCTCGAATCAAAGCGCTTTTGAGTTGAACGAATCCTGTTTTTGGCGAGTGTCTAGGTATTTGCGCTGTTAAAATATTCGGGCGATCGAGTTCATGTCTTGCCGTCGTATTTCGTTATCGGAATCACCGTGACAATTGAAAAAATGCGAAAAAGTTAAGAAGGATCATTTCAATTCATTGAGAGCATTACATGACACTGTACAGTAACGTAATGTACAGTACCGTAGTTTGTAACTTAATCTGCCGCTACATAGTAATAGTTTTTCCGGAAGGGCATTCGAGTCTAAACATGCATGTATTACTCATTTAGACAATTTCGATAATAATTGTGTGCTCACGAACTCAAGTTTTGCTGTAAATCGAATTCTCACTAAATTTTCGAAGAAAAAAAACGTGCATTCGTCTTCAACACCGACGTCAGAGAGAGCGTGCACCTACGGTATTTTGCTATCGATCATATGGCGAGCACGAGTTCCGTGACCTGTGAACAACAATAATAACAGAGTGGCACTTAACGGCAAAATACTTATGCGCACGAGTCATTTATTGGTATTCTTGTGAAGAATTATAATTTTATGTTAATATATGTTCATACATGATGCAGACAGCGGGTAGAATCATATAGATTATTGCGTTCACTGGCATCACAAGCGACAGTGTCGGTGAAGCAGTGAGAGGGGATGGATGTAACGTGCTGCTGTCACATGATATAAACTAACTCTTGGCGTCTCTGGATTATTCGCTCGCAATCTTGACCACTTGAACGACTGAATCATAAAAGGTATTGATATTTAAATGTAACTGATTTTGCCATAATCTTCTCCAATTAAGAAAAAATTGCTTCCAATTTACAGATTGCTTTTCTGCTCATGTTCTTTGGTTTTTATCAAGAGATGTTTTCTTCAGGTTTTTGATCGGAACAAACTTCGTAGACATAATTCCTTTTTATTCTTATTTAGTCACATAAATACGAGAAAAGTACAAAATTTATTGAAAATATTTTTGTTTGAATGTTGTGTTGCTTCTATAAGACTGTAACCATGTTGATCAGTTGATTTCAGCTACATAGTGCAAGTAGTAGGCTAGTAACTAACTCTATTGTCAAATGTCAATGCCAGTATGCTACATTCAAACATTGCCACTTGTGACTAGGCACTAACCTAGCCAGCTTTGGCAGCAGCACTTAGTTACCAGCGGCCAGCCTGCAATAGAAACAACCTATTTTATGAACAAACCTGAAGCATGCCACACTTGCACATCACATCTTTCTTGCACGATCAAAACAGTTTTGTAGTAATAATGTGGTTATCATGCCCTACAAATTGTAGTTCTGACCTAGTGACCTAAGTATATGATACAGATTTTAGTGAGGATCTTCAGGAGCGTCTAGGTAAGTGCAGATTTAGCAGTGGTGATTTGTTTGGCAGTGATAGTAAATAGTTTATACAAGTAGAATCTGACCAACTGCAATGACACTAAATTTTCCACTCCTGAATTTTGCCTGGTATGCACAATCATTCATCCATAGAAGCAATAGATGCATCGTTGATGATTATTAGGAGCATCATATATTGCGTATGGGTTAGTTCTGTATCATGGTGCCATTTTAAAATCAAGATTGGAATTTTCCTACTTATTACTGAAATTATGCATCTCCAGAGTGAAATATTTTAAAAAATTTTGAATTTAGCAGCCCAATTATATACTTTTACTTTTGTTTACATTGGAAAGTATGTATGGTATTCAAGTCTTTAAATATAAAGGAAGCTTTACTGTCAATGCAGATAACCTTGTCAGCAGCATTAATTTCACCGCCCTCAATACAAGCAATCTATTTTGTAAGCAAAACAAAGTCATATCTTTTCACAAGGAAAAGGAATTTTTAGTTATTATGAGGCAATCAGACCCTAGAAATTGTACTTCTGACCAGTATTTTCAGTTTTTAGTGTCAAGCGGCAACTGGCAAGGTACATATGTGCAGTTTTTGCTGAGTGGCAACTTATGTGGTATTGATCCTTTGATACTAGTAGTTGTAGCTTGGAAGTTCAATGCTGGTTAGCAAATATATGTATATAGATGTAGAAGAACCTGAACCTGGGGTTTTGAGATATTGGAACTATAAGCTAGACTTAGCTATTAGCTAGTAGTAAGTAGAACAGCACTAGCCTAAAATTACAATCAGAATTTTTTAAACTTATTACTGAAACCTTCTGGCTCCAAAGTGAGTGTTTTCATAAAATTTAACCACGTGGCTTGTTCATGCACTTGGTTAACAATTATATAAGAAGTAATTCAACTAGCTGGAATCTTGGACTCCAATAATAGGGGATAAGCTCTGGTGGCGTCTTGAAAGGTACCGTAAAATGGGGTAACTTAGACCACTTTTTTTTCTATAAATGATGCCATTTTTTTACTAGCTAAATTAAACTTGAATTGAAACGTGCAAAATACAGGTCTATACTCTAGCTTCACTCACCATAAATTGCTGGCTCCTGCCTCTCAGAGTCTTTATGTAATTTCAAAAAAAGTGGTGGTCTTTGTTACCCCAGCTCTTGGGGTAACTTAGACCGGGTGGTTAAATCAATTATATTTTTTGGTAAAATAGCTCCAAATAACTCCAGGTTTTGGTGCATTGTAGTAGAACTCTTCTAGTTACATATGCAAATGACAAACTTGAGGAAAGTGTCATAGTTTGCAAATGGGGGGTGCCGCCCCATAATGAGGGAAATGTGACTACCTAATGGCAGCCCTGATAGGGTAATATTGACTGGCTTGGAAATTAAGTTAAAATTACCATATATAAGACTCTGTAGAGTCTGAAACATAAATAAAAAACATAAATAGGCTGTCAAACATAAAATATGTTATATATGGTCATTTTTTATTAACTTCCAAGCCGGTCTATGTTACCCCGTCAGGGCTGACATTAGGTGGTCTAAGTTACCCCATTTGGGGGCAGCGCCCCCCATTTGCAAACTATGACACTTTCCTAAAATTTGTCAGTTGCATACATAACTAGAAGAATTCTACTACAATGCATCAAAACCTGGAGTTATTTAACTAAAAAATAAAAAAATTGAAGGGGGTACTCTGACAGGCTTTAAATAATAGCTTTTTTTCATGGGTCACATTTTTAATTTTTTAACCTATTAGATATGCAAACTTTTCAAATCTTTCTATTGTGTTATGTAGCCTCAGTATTAGGCCTTTAATGCCCATTGACAAAATTTTTCTATGTCAAATAGTTTCCGAGTTGTGGGGGTTTTTGTTAAAAAAACGAAAAGTGGTCTAAGTTACCCCGCCGGTCTAAGTTACCCCATTTTACGTATATTCCATGCCTGCCCAACTTCATGCTTGGAATTTATGTATACTTACTTTCTGACCCTTGAATAGAGCTTTTCTACTGAACAATATTAGTAAACCAAGAACTATGATGCTACCATGATAAATGATAGTTCATTTTGAAAGCATGAATTTCCAAGTAATTTCCAAGCCAAAATCTTATCTGTCTAAGTCTTGGACATTGCATAAAAACTTTTAGATTTGCCCTAATAAGGCATATTTACAACTATTTTACTTTAATGTATGCCTAATTTATTATTTATCAATAAATACATTTTGATTTCTGTAGAGTAGAATTCTAGAGGTGATTATGTGAACTGGCACTCTTCACTTATTTGAATGAAACGTTTATTTGTACGTGTTGTGTCCATTCTAGTTTACTTTAGAAATAATGAATTTAATGAAACTCAGAGTATGTATAGGTACATTGTAAGCCTTTCAACTTTTGGCTTAGGTAGACTTTATGGACCCTCATTTCAGAGGGGATAATAGTCATTGTAAATTTATTATAGATGGTTGTTTGGAGGTTAATAAATAAAGCTTTGGATGCCAAGTTTGAGTATGTATAGGTTTTGAAGTTGGAAGTAGCTGCCTCATTTAAAGACAATTTAATCACTGAAGATGCATGGAGAAACTGACGTTTGATTTGGCTTTAAGATTTCCTATAGTTTTTGAAAAAAATTTGTTATCCTTCCATGAATGATCATACATTGAACCAAAATGTGGCAAATCAATGTTATATTTTATGTTGCTTTTTCCCATTTGCAGCTCAAAAAACTTGAGTGGTATGGACAAAATGATGCTACTGGGCTAGTCATGTGGTAGACACAATCCTTTCAGTATGTATTGAGGATTATAAGCATCCAATATATGAATTATATTGGATACTTGAAAATTACTTATATATAAATTATATTGACTATAATAATATGAATTATATTATTATACTAGTCAGATGATTAGTGATGGGCAGAGGCATGAAGAACATTTCCTCTAGAACAAAGCAAATTGCAGTGATGAGGCTGTTGTGGTCATGAATTTAATTTTTAATGTATGGAAATTTCCCTAGAAGGTTAAGTTGGAACCTAGGAATCAAAATTTTTGAGAGGAAATTTTTGAAGTGAGCCTAGCATAACGTGCTGCTCCAACTTATCACATTATAATGCATTGGCTTATTTTATATCATTTGTTAGATGAAAGTTCTGCAATAATCCACTTTTAGAAAAGTAACAAACTAAAATTTACTCGCAAATTTGATCCTTTGGAGGTAAGAGATTTACCACCTTCCTTGTTCATGTGCATTTCAGGACATATGTCAATAAATGAATTGTTATACCTGAGATTTGATATCCCATTCCTCCAAACCTGAATTACTAACTCTTTGCTTCAGTAACAGAGATTGACTAACCAACCAAACTTTTTATGATCATTACCGTTAATTTACGACTAACATACAGTCACGTGCGACCTCTTTGTTGCTATTCCTCCGTGGGTCTCCTATCTGAAATGAATTAGAGATCCCATCACTCAGAGCCTTGCATTCTATCCCCAGTTTTATTCAGAATTTGGAGTTTTGTGTCTACCAGAATTTGAACTTGAAATGAATATGTAATGAAGAGCCTTGGAGATTCTGGCTAAGGAGCCCCTGTCTCACTTAACGCTTTTCCTTACATTTGGACTCAACAGCTGGATATCCTGAGCTAGGCAAAATGCTGGGGCGTTCACTAATTCTTGTTTCACAATTTCAAAACCTTGAAAATGTGTGAAAACAATTTCTGTTACGGATGAATTAAAAATGTCAAGAACATTTAACAAGGTAGTTAGCTATAGTTGTTTCTTCTCTACCTCCTTGCTACTTCACTTCTAATTCATTGCTACTTCTCTCCTACTTGTTACTTCTCAGCTAATTGTTACTTCTCTCCTACTTCCTTGCTACTTCTCTCCTACTTCCTTGCTACTTCTCATCTACTTCCTTGCTACTTAAATCATACTTCCTTCCTACTTCCTTGCTAGTTCACTCCTACATCTTTGCTACTTCACTGCTTCTTAGCTACTTCACTCCTACTTTGCTACTTCCTTCCTATTTCACTCCTGATACTCCCTTCCTACTTCACTCCTGATATTTCCTTCCTACTTCACTCCTGATACTTCCTTGCTACTTCACTCCTGATACTTCCTTGCTACTTCACTTTTATTTATTTCCTACTTTACTCCTACTTCCTTGCTACTTCACTAAGTTCACTCTACTGCTACAACATTACAGTTACAGTCCTCGTAATCTGAGCGTCTGTCGCAATTGGCGCCCTGCACTGTCAGGTAGCAGCAGCTCTGGCAGTGATTGGTCCTGCTCACAATTAAAGTTTTCTAGCCTCTTGTTATTTGTTAGATTAATTATTTGTTAGCTGATTATAATGCCAACTAATTGGTCATCACTACTCC